CTCTTACCCATCTCTCTCTCTCTCTCTCTCCCCCCCCCCTGTGGGTGGGTGCCTGTCGCTGCAGCCGCCGCCGCTGCTCCCCGGCGTTGCGGGTCTCCGGACCGCCGCGGTGGACGGAGGCGCAGACGGCTGTGGGCCGAATAAAAGGGGAGGGAGCGATGTGGATATAATTGTTCGTGTCTGCAGTCACCCCATGAGCGAGGAATGAATGCAAGCGGAAAGCAGAGAAGGGGGCGGAGCAGATAGACTAGCGAATGTGTCTCCGCACGAAGCAAAGAATCGCTAAAAGACGCTGAGAAGGAAAAAAGAACAGCAAATAAGCGGAAATAAAGCTTCTGGAGGAGGAGGTGGTGGTGCGGGGGCAAAGAGGAGCCGGGGAAAAAAGAAAAAGACAGAAGGAAGTTGCGGGAGAAAAAAAGTGGGACACACCAGAGAATGCAAGTGAAAAATGAAAGAGACCGTGGCTGTGTGTGTCTGGGAGAGAGAGAGAGAGAGGGAGAGAGATGCGGTGGTATATGTTTAACCATATATATATATATATATATATATATATACCGACGAAAGAAAGGGGGAACTGTTCCTCACGAGCAGCGCCTGTGTGTAACCGGATGGTGCGTGCTCTTCCTGGCGTTCGCATCGTGGGCACATAGCGGCAGCTCGGTCCATCATGACTTCCAGCAGTAGTAGCAGCAGCACGGAAATGAAGTGAAATATGTGTGATGCGTATATCGGCACCGGCGTGGATGCGATATTATGTATGTCTCTCTGGCTTCATCTGTTTTCTCGTTTTTTTTTTTGTTTTGTGTTGTTTTGTTTGTTTGTTTCGTGTCGCACAAACGTCTCAACGTTTCTTCACATCCCTCTCTCTCTCTCTCTCGCTTTACTCCCACTGTTTTGCGTGGTGCTTCTCGTTGTGCTGCTGCTGCTGCTGCTACTGGTGCTTCTGTTATGCCTTCTCGGTGGCCGAGTTTTTTGTTCCTCGGCGTCTGCAGGTGCCTGACTGCGTTGTTGTCTCTTGGCGGTTGTTCTTGTTATATGAATATGTGTGCATGCTCGTGTGAGAGATGCGTCCGCGAAGGGGGAGGGTGAACAAAAGAGAATGAGAAGGAAAAGCGCGTGTTTGTGATTGGTTGTGTGTGTGCCTATCTCTGTGCACGTGTGGCAAGGGGACTGCTTTGACAGACCGTCAGGCACCTATTCGTGTGTTTGCTTCTTCATGTCTGTGGGCCGCCCGCCCATCCCCGTAACTGTCATACATGCATATTGTACGTGTATGTATATGTGTAGCTATAGATATATATATATATAATACGTTTCTCTCTCCTTGTCTCACATGTATGCACACACCCATTCTGGGCGAGAAACTTGTGGCTTCGCTGCAATAATAAAGATCAAGAGAGTTGATGAAGAAGAGAGAACAGAGTGTCACGAACATACATCAGTAGATAACAAAGAACGAGCCACGGCAAGGATATGTCAATGCAGCTACGTGTCACTGGGAGTGCGCCAGCGGCTGTGAAGGAACAGGTGGAGCGTGCACTGCTGACTGCCTTTGATCCCCCCATATTCACACAGCAGCAGCAGAGCGGAATGTCATTGTTCCATCTTCTTCTCGACGCACAGGATGCGCCTCTCGCCAATCCGCAACAGACGCCATATGACTGCCGCTTCATGTGGGCACCGGAGAGCACGATGGATGAGGTCCTCATGGAGGTGCGGTGTCTGCTTGAGGGCCGGCGGTTCACATCGACGCGTGGGGCTGCAGACGCGTCGGCTACGTTTCTGAGTGTTGTGCGCGATGGCCTCGCGCCCGACGGCGGCCTTTTCAACCTGCAGAACATACCGCGCATGGCGCCATCACAACTGCACTATTACTGCACGTTCCCCACACTGAACTATATTGAGGCGGCGCAGTTTGTGCTCGAGCGGCTGGTGGATGCCTCGCTGCCGCCACAGCAGCTCCGTGCGTTGCTTGTCGACGCCTACGCCCCTTCGCGGTGGAGTGGGCTGAGTGATGTGTGCCCAGTCACGTCGCTGCTCCCCAACACCCCAGCACCACCAACAGAAGCAGATTCAAGGTCCGGCGCGTGCTGGCATGATGTGTCGCTGCTGGAGCTTTATCACGGCCCCACAGCGGCCTTCAAGGACTTTGCCCTGCAGCTGTTCCCTCGCTACTTTGACATCGCAGTGAAGAGTGACAGTGGCGCACGCAGCGGCAGCCGCAGCGATAACGGCCTACAACATTCGTATGTCATACTCGCGGCAACATCCGGCGACACTGGTGTGGCGGCCATCAGCGGCTTTGCGAATGCCGGCAGCTCCACACGTGTCATGGTGCTGTACCCCCACCGTGGCGTCTCGCCAGTGCAGCAGATGCAGATGTTGTCATACGACGATGGCACCTCGGTGCGTGTGTTTGGGGCAAAATCTGACTTCGACTTTTGTCAGCACAGCGTGAAGCAGATCTTTGCGAACCGCGCGCTGGCGCAGGAGTTGTGGAGCGATGCGGGTGTGCGGCTGTCCTCCGCCAACAGCATCAACTGGGGCCGCCTCATCCCGCAGGTGGCGTACTACTTCTGGGCCTACCGGAAGTTCGTGCAGCAAGACGGAGATCGGCGGCTGCATCTCGGTGATCCACTCGATGTGGTGGTGCCGTGCGGGAACTTCGGCAACATTCTCGCTGCGTTCTTTGCAAAGCGCATGGGTCTGCCGCTCGGCACGCTGGTGGTCGCCTCCAACTGCAACGACGTGCTCTGCGAGTTCGTGCAGACGGGCCGCTACGACAT